TCAAAGCTCCACAGATCTCTAGGGAAGGTGCAAAATGCCACCAGTCTCTTTGCTAAAGCATAACAAGAGTCACCTTTGCTTTAGTTCCCAAAAAGTTTCTCATCTCCATCTGAGACCACCTCACCCTGGACTTTATTGTCAATATCACTATCAGCATTTTGGTCAAAGCCATTCAACAAGCCTCTAGGAAGTTCTAAACTTTCCCACACCTTTCTGTCTTCTTCTGAGCCCTCCAAACTGTTCCATCATCTGCCTGTTACTCAGTTCCAAAGTCACTTCTGCATTTTCAGTTATCCTTACAGCAGTGCCCCACTACCTGGTACTAATTTACTGTATTAGTTTGTTCTCATGCTGCTAATAAAGACATACCCAAGACTGGGTAATTTATAAAGTAAAAGAAGTTTAATGGGCTCAGCTCCACCTGACTGGGAAGGTCTCATAATCATGGTGGAAGGCAAAGGAGGAGCAAAGGCATATCTTACACTGTGGCAAGCAAAAGAGTGTATGCAGGGGAACTCCTCTTTTATGAAACCATCAGATCTCAAATGATTTAATCACTCTTACGAGAACAGCACAGGAATAACCAATCACCATGATTCAATTACCTCCCAAGGGGTCTCTTCCATGGTACATGGGAATTATGGAAGCTACAATTCAAGATGAGATTTGGATGGGTCACAGCCAAACCATATCAATTGGATACACTGCTTATTTTACCAAGACTTTGACTGGAAAGACATATTTTCAGATTTGATCAGACTGCTTTGGGAAGTTTCTTTATGAAGATGATAAAAAGCTCCCTGGTTAGCCTCGCATGGTGGTGTATGCTTGTAGTCCTAGCTACTTAGGGGGCTGTGGCAGGAGAATCACTTGACCCCAGGAGATTGAGGCAGCAGTGAGCTATGTTTACGCCACTGCACTCCAGCAGTCAGGTAATAAAGCAAGATCCTGTTTAAAAAAAAAAAAAAAAAAAAAAAAAAGCTTTGGAAACATAGGTTAGCATATTTCCCTTGCAAGGTCCCTTATAAATAATGTCACGTTCTGATAAGCCTAGGAGCCTAAAGATATTTATGGATATTATGGGCACAGTCTGATGTCAAATCCTTGTCTCAACTGTCTAGCTTCAAGAGGGTTTTAAAAGTCTAATCTGAGACTTCGTATTAAAAGGTTTCCACAAACCACCTTCAAAAGGTCTTTATGAGTTGGACATGGTGGATCATGCCTATAACCCCAGAAGTTTGGGAGGCCAAGGGAGGAAGATCACTTGTGGCCAGTAATTTGATACTAGCCTGGGCAATATAGAGAAATCCCATATCTAAAAAATACAATAAAATATCTTGAAAGCCTATATGGCCAATCAGTCTTTTTGTTGCAACTGTAAGAGTGATTGCCCGTATAGGCTTTTAAACAATAATCATGTCAAGTATGATTAACAACTTATTTTATAAATAAATTGATCCCATTAAAATGTATCTTTTATAGAAATGGGGAGCTGGAGAGAGAAAAAAATGTGTTTCAGCAGAAAACTGCTATATATCTTTTATTAGATTCCAGCCCTTACCACTGTTTTTGAGATTTTATTATTTTCCTACAGTTGGGACGAAATTCTAAATTATTTCCTGGCTATAATACATTTCTATAGGACAACATTTTAATTTTTTAATGATGTTTTTAGTTGACTGCCAAATGGAAAAGAACTTTTTTCATTCTGTCTTACAAATTATCTCTTTGATTACAATTTTTCTGTGCATTGTATCTCTACCATGTACCTCGTTTTTTACTTCATCAAAGAAAACTAAACTTGTGGCATTCCAAAGACTAGAGATGATTCAACAAGTGACAGCAGCTGTATGAATTAGTAACTTTTCTGAGGTCTCATTTTTGCCACCCTGTTATGTCATCCCAATTCAAATTTTGGTGCTCTTAAAATTTCTAACTGAGATGTATTCTCTCCCTCCTACTCCCTCACCATGAGACGGGACCATTCAGAAATTGGTCTTCCTGATGACACAAAACTAAGTTCCTAAATATAAAAGGAGCCAAAATCATTTGAGTTCATCCAGTATGGTTTATTTGAAAGATCCTGATAAAAATGGATGAAAGTAAAAAAGAAAAATGTCAATTAGCTGGGCCTGATGGCATGCATGTGTAATTCCAGTTACTTGGGAGACTGAGGCAGAATTGTATGGACTTGGGAGGTGGAGTTTGCAGTGAGCCGAGATCATGCCACTGCACTCCAGCCTGGGCAACAGAGCAAGACTCCGTCTTGAAAAAAAAAAGAAAAGAGAAGAAAAGAAAAAAAGTAATCACAAAATAGAAAAATATCTCAGAGTAACCTGAGCTGTCAGAAGTATGAACAATTTATCAGGCCCAAAGACACAAGAGTATGGAACTTCAGTCACATCCCCTGCTCTCATGCCTGTGGAGCAAATCCTTAAAATTATCTTTGTACTTGACTAGCTGCCTCACTCATTATCTTCATGTTTCTGGAATTTATGATACAAAGAACAATGTATAGCCAATCAATAGCTTATGTTATTTCCAGGGGAATTGCTTGAACCCAGGAGGTGGAGGTTACAGTGAGCCAAGAACCCGCCACTGCACACCAGCCTGTGTGACAGAGCGACACTCCATCTCAAAAAAAAAAAAAAAAATGTTATTTTAATGAAAATTCTTGGTAAACAACTTAGGAAGTATCTCTCCTTTTTCCTAAAAATGTGCTTATAACTGCTGCTAGTCAGTATATTCATGGAAACTTGAATATATGCTGATGGATGGCTATCTTTAAGCTTTGGGCTTGGATAAACTATATTTTGTCATATTTTATAAATGTAATTATTTAAGTTTGACAACACTTAGATCATTGATTTAAATGTGTCTTACTTCCTCTTCTTGCTGCTTAAGTTTTATGTGGTTTACAGATTACATGTAGTGAAAAGGTATAGTAACTCAAAAATCTCACTATTCACAGTTAGGCTCTTCAAGTTTAGCTTTCCTTCTAGTTTCTGACTTTTTTTTCTGGGTTTACTTGTATCTCCCATGCTGTATTATAATAATAAATTGTTAGATCTTTGTCTTAAATTCTGCACAGGGGTATTCTAAAGTCCTTGAAATTTTCTGAGTGATAAGAGTTTATTTTTAAGTTAGTGAGGTGACTAATAATGTATCCATAAATAACTACACGATGGGGGCTGATCACTACAGGGACCAACCATGTGGTGACAGGTTTGGTTCTTGACCACTTATCATCTCTGGGGAGGGGAAAGGGGATAGAAATTGAGTTCAGTCACATAACCAATAATATAACCAATCATGCCTACATAATCAAACTCCAATCAATTTTGAGACACAAAGTCTCAATAGAGCTTCCTGGTTGGTGAACACACTGATGTGTTGAGAGAGTGATTCTACAAGAAGAAGAAATGGAAGTTCTGCATTTCCTCCCAGATCTCATTCTATGGTCTCTTCACTTGATTGGTTCTTGTGATTGTGCACTTTATAACAAAACTGTAATTGTAAGTACAGTTGTCTTCCTGAGTTCTGAAAGTCATTCAAGTAAATTAAACCTGAGAGAGTCATAAGGACCTAAAAATTTACAGCTTGTCAGTCAGAAATGCAGATGGCCTAGGAACTCCTGATGAGTGGCTGGAATTTGAAACAAGGGTAGCCTGGTTGGGAACTGCTTGCTTTAACTTGTGGGGTTTGCATTAACTCCAGGTGGTTAGTACCATAATTGAATTGCTATGCACTCAGTTGCGATTGAAACAGAATACATGTATATACTAGCTACATAGCCAAATATATTATTCATATTTTAGATTTCCTCCCTTCTACAGCTCCCTCATTTTCAAGATTCTTTCTTTAAGTTTCCAGCTGTCCTACTGCTCTAAATCCTGTCATCTTCCCCATGATCCAGTTTCCCACAGGAAGAGTTAGAGGGTGGTGGTGGTGGGTCCTTGAGTCTCTCATGAGAAAAACAGCAACAACAACAACAACAACAACAACAAACAGTAAACCCACAGTTTTTGTAGAAGCAATAGCACTCTCTTCATAATAATCTCCTCTTATTTTCCTCTCACTTTTTCTGGGTCACTTTCCAATACCTTCAAATATTTGTTTTAACACTTTTGCCCAGTTTCTATAAGTGTTTTTTTCTAGGAAGAATTGTCTAAGATCTTCACATCATTTATTTACACCATCAGAAATAGCAGGAACAATTTCCAGAAACCTTGTTATTCTTATCCAAATTTTTTCTTTTCTATTTGCAAGCTACTTCTATATTCCCCTACACTTAATTTTTCAAAAGACTAATAAATATTTATGATTTATAAAAATGAATGCTAGAAAACAGGAAGGGTGGACAAAGTTTGCAATAGAGGAGGACATTCTATCCAAGGAGATCACTCACTAAGTTGCCCAAACTCTGTCATCTCTTAGTGTACCTTCTAAATAATTAAACAATGACCTCCCTCCTCTTTTGTCTAGATATTAACTTAGAATCACTGTGTCTGGGAGAATAGTTACCTCTGGGTTTATCTGGCACAGAAATGGATGTAAAATGAGACAAATATAAATATACTTAAGCATTAACTTTTCTCCACCTCATCAAAACTCTCCTTTTGGTAATTCTTTCAAACAAGTTTTCCAACACCATGGAGAGCAGCAGATAATAAAATTACATACAGAAAATTACTTAATGTTCCCTTAGTGTAGCTTAGTGTTCTCATTCTTGTTATATTGTTGTTATATTGTAGTTATACATGTATAAGCATGTTTTTCAGTATTGTTTTATAAAATCAGTTTAAGCAGAATCCATGTTTTACCATCTGTATTTGTATAGCCCCTGAGACAGAGCAGCTAGCACTGAGGCACACAGAAGAAAGAAATAAGAAAAGGAAAGAAGAAAGGAAGAGGGAAGGAAAAGGAGAGAAAAGCAAAGGAGAGAGAAAGCAATGAAAATGATAAAGAATAATTGTCTTCAGATGAAAATCTGTAAAGAGTTTTGTTTCAATTCTTTATTGCTGCATAACAAACTTTCTTAAAATAGAGTGCCTAAAACCAATAACTAGTTAAATATTTATTTGCTCATGATTTTCAGTTTCTTCAGGACTCAGCAGAGACGGCTCATCTTTGCTCCATGTCTTCTTGGTTGAGGGCTTATTTGACGTTGGAGAACCCAAGATGGCTTCCTTCACATGTCTGACACCTCAGTTTGGATGTCTGGAGTGGTTGGAAGCTGGCTGGACTATTCTCTTTTTTTCTTCCATCCTCTATGGATTCTTGATCTTTGTAGGACCTCTCTCTAGCAGACTAGTTGTTTTTCTTGGCTGTGTGAATGTTTTCCAAGAAAAAAAATAAAATGAAAACAGGAAACTGCAAGACCTCTTAAGACTAAGGACTGAAAATCTTAGAATGTCATTTTTGGCATATTCTATGAGTCAAAAGAAGTCACAGGGCCAGTTTGGCTTTAAATGGAGGAGTAAGAGACTCTCATCTCTTGCTGGGAGGAACAGCATGTACAGGTATGGGAGGATCTATTAACAGCAGCCTTTGAGGACAATCTACCACAGTGTTAACAGCCTATTACTGGAGAATCATAGAAAACTATTGTAAAAATTTAACCTAGAAACAACTATAACTCAGCAATTCCTAGTTCATTAATAGTTCCTAGCTCTTTTTAAAGAGCACAATATAATATTTACTTTAATACTTCAACTTTGACTAAAAATTGTTAATCAAATGTGTCCTGAAACCATTTCAGATAGGATATATTGTGTCCAATGGCATCCATAAATACAGATAAACTATAAACTGTTGTAGATAAATTGTGAATTGCCATATCCATATAAAACTATTCACAAAAGTAGATGACCAATGATTGAAATAGGGAGGTAATGTGTAAAAAGTACACAGATAGTCCTTCTTTTCTTCTAAGCTTAGAACCTTAGCCTATTTTTCTGTAGCACAGAGCTAGCTGAAGGATTGTGTGAAAGATTATTTTAAATGTAATAGCATTTGTTTTGTTTTGAAATGTAAGCTATAATCAGATTGGTGTAGATGAATTTCACCTATATTTAAATGGTGAGGTTTGTAAAAGAAAATCTAAAATAAAAAATTGACATCATTTTTTCTCATTATATTGTTTTCAGTTCATAGTAACAATAAAATTTGCTATATCATTAAAAGGAACTACACACACCTAGGCTTTATAAAGAAGATTTGTAAACATATGCTATGATAGATACATTTCTATCATCAAATCAGCACTTCAATCAGAACCAATATGATTGTAATAAGATTGACTTTCTTTCATGAGCACATATATCATGAAGGTTCAGGGAATTTGTCTAGTATAGAAGACTGTTAAAAGGGAGATGGCAGACCACGAATTAATATCCATTACTGGTCATCCATATGGTGAAAATGGATATTAGTTGTGGTTTTATTTTATAATTTAAAAGAGGATATTAGAAAAAAGTCTAGTAAATTATTTTAAATTGTTTTTGTTTCAGAAGTTTTTTAAATGAGATATCTGGTGGTAATTTATAAAGATTAAAATATGCCCATGTAGAGCCTGTATTTAATAAGTTAAAGCCATTAAGAAATTAGAAAAGCCTCAACAAGCTATGTTGTCTCGGGTGATATAAATGTTTATTAATATGTTTATTTTTAATACAAAAGGATTCTGCAGATAATTTTGTTAACTTCACTGTTTTTAGAATTCCACATTTATTAGGAAGATAATACTTCAAAGTAAAAGCTTATTCAACAACCTCATTTACCTTTTCCTTGCTTTTGGTAACCAAACCACTGAGCAAACAAAAAATAATAGGTTGATAATACAGGCTATTTCTGCTTGGCTGCAATTGCCCGGAATTTCTATTTCAACTCCTTTCCTCTCAGAGTGTTGCCACTAATGTGACAATCAATCCATCTGTGCTTCTGGTTATTAAAGAGAACCTGGCAACCACTTTAATCAATCACCTTGCCGTGAAAGGAAGCAGTGAGAAGGTTGAGGGGAGAGGTGAATTACCTCAAATCTAAGGTTGGTAATATTGTTTGCAGAGGGGAAGCATCCTGGGGAGTGTATAACCTAGGGTGAGTTTTTATTGGTCTCCTTCAATTTTTTTCTTTATTTTGAAATGACCTTGAACACATATCAGATAATTCACACAGTCCAAGGAGCAATCGCCTATTTCCTCAAAGCTTTTAGGGTAAGAAGCACATTCATTCAAGGTAATGCATTTTATTTGTAACTGCTTTCCACAGTTTAACTTTACTTAGCTTTTAGGTGACCTCTTAACCTATCATTTTTCAAAGAAATTGTGTGTGTGTGTGTCTGTGTGTATGTGTGTGTGTGTGTTTTGAAGAACCTTTTTTCTAGCCAGGGGACCTGGATTTTCTTTTGACTTTTCATTTTCATTACCACTCTAATCAAGGAATCATGAAAATACTTATTACCTGACCTTGGAAACCTAAATGCTCTCATTTGGCTGTCATTGATTCATTGATATCACCCTTAACTGTCCATAAAGAGTTTTAACTATTCTAACCCCCAACACATAATTCTTACTGTAGATGTTCAGGTCTGCTTCATGTTGCATATACAATCCATTTCAATTTTCACTTGTATGTCTTTGCTTTTGCTATTCCCCTAGGTTTGCACTTGTCTGAACGCTTTTATTCATTACTCATGCAAAATGTGCCATTTCTCCAAAGTCCACCTCAGCCTTTCTAACATTACGACCTCTTTTGATGAACACCACAGCTTCCTGTCCCCTCACAATATTTATTTTTTCTGAACTAAAGTGATTGAACTCAGTTTAACAAATGATCATATAACGCTGTATCTAAGTTTCTTATGATGTTACATCTGTCGGTTTGTCTTTCAAGGTTGTACATTTGCTGAAAATGAGGACTACATTCCTGCAACATATATTGGGGAATTAGGGTACCCAGGGTGCTCTATAACCCTTTCCTAATTGATTTCTGCCAGGCACTTAATAATTAACACAAAATAAATCTTTTTTAAATCACTATATATGAGTCCATAACTTATTTTGAAGTTAAAAATGCCTTTCCACCTATATGGTAGGCAAGAAGAGTTTAAATTTGTTGTTTTGTGTTTGCTTTGTAATAGATTATATTTTAAACATATCACAGGCAAGATCAGTTTGTCATATTTATAGATTTATTTATAGTACTGCCTGTGTTTGCCACTATTGTTTTCTAATTTTGTTGTTGTTGTTGTTTTTGAGACAAGGTCTCACTCTGTTCCCCAGGCTAGAGTGCAGTGGCATGATAATGGCCCATTGGAGCCTTGACCTCCCAGACTCAAGCAATCCTTCTACCTCAACCTCCTGAGTAGCTGGGACTACAGGCTTCTGCCACAGCATCTGACTAAATTTTCAAGTCTTTGAAGCAATGGAGTCTTGCTATGTTGCCTAGGCTGCTCTTGAACTTCTGGGAGCAAGTGATCCTCCCACCTCACTCTCCCAAAGTTCTGGGATTACAAACATGAGCCGCTGCACCCAACACGCTATCATTATAATGCCCTAATGTTTGCTAGACTGTCTTAATTAAATGAAATTCCTATTCCATTGTTGGTATGCAAACATTTCAGTGGCTGTAACATCATAGGTTGATCTTTGCTGTGTCTATTAAAAAATGATTTTTATTGCTTATGGACAATAAGTTGGGATAAGGAGAACACTGATCTAATTTTAGTATTTGTGATTTAACCCTTTCTAATTCTGATTCATATTTTCAATTCTTATCATGTCTATAAAAGCATAAAGTACAGTAGCAAAACTGGTAAAAAAAAAAAATGACTAAAATAAAACCGTTCTCTAGCAGGAACACTTCACTCTAGGACATTATGCTATGGTAAGGGAAAAGTCTATTTAAAAATGTGATTGCCGGCCGGGCGCGGTGGCTCACGCCTGTAATCCCAGCACTTTGGGAGGCCGAGGCGGGCGGATCACAAGGTCAGGCGATCGAGACCACGGTGAAACCCCGTCTCTACTAAAAATACAAAAAATTAGCCGGGCGCGGTGGCGGGCGCCTGTAGTCCCAGCTACTCAGGAGGCTGAGGCAGGAGAATGGCGTGAACCCAGGAGGCGGAGCTTGCAGTGAGCCGAGATCGCGCCACTGCACTCCAACCTGGGCGACAGAGCGAGACTCCGTCTCAAAAAAAAAAAAAAAAAAAAATGTGATTGCCATAGCATCTGATTTGCTTTTATAAAGCAGAGTTTTTCTGGCAATAGGCAAATGGCAACACCAAACACAAAACTGCCCCCAAATTTAACGTTCTAGTACCAAACTGAAAATATTACCTATTTCTTGTCTTTAAAAAGTAAATAGCTGTTTACAGTAATTGTTTTATAAATGTAATTGAGAGCATTACTAAGAGTAGACAATAAAATACATAGCTAATCACAGGCTTTATGTTTTTGGGTAACAGCCCCAGTTAACAACTCATTTGAATGTCTACAATTAGATATTGATTGGCAGCTGATTGATATGTGAAAGGACAAGGAAAGCTCATTTGATCAGAAAAATCATGTTGCTTATACTTTCAAATGAAACAATATTTGAGCCGGTTGAGTTCTTGGAATTGATTAGGAATTAGAGCAAATAAATAGAAAATTTCTCAGACAATTAAGATTTAATCAGGCCTTTCATCACCCCACTACACTGCTGTGCTTGTCCTTGTTAACTTTGCCCTCTTTCTGCCCTCTGTGCCTCATCAGAGTTTTAATAAATATGTGCCACTTCCCAGCTTCAGAGTCTGCCATGGTGGTTCTCAGAATCTTCATAGGCAGGCATTGGTTGTGTCAATGTCCTCAGGTTAGAATTATCCATCTTTCTCTGGGTGCCTATGGTCCATTCTGATTATGGAAGTCCCTGCAGGATTTATTGTTTCCTATCTGTTTTAAAATCTGCTTCTTTCTGAGATGGCTTGTGGGTACCTGCATGCCTTTCTTTCTCAAACACATTGCTTACCTCACTACAAAATTTTTTTCTGTCATTTTTTTTTTCTGCACCCTAATTTGAACAAATAATTAAGTTCTTTTCTGGTGTTAGGGCACTAGCAAAGAATGACTCTGAAGCTATTTTCTTAATATACATCTCCAAAACAGATTCTGTCCTTCAGTGCAGATAGTGTTAGGCACAGATGGGAGCCTGGCTGGCTACCTTCAATATTTTGTTTTCCTGATTTAACACCCAAGTCTGGAATGGTGACAGAGACCCTCCCTTGTTCTCTGTGGATTATAAAACTATGTCATGTCATGCTATTTTTCTACTAGTCAGTGGATAGATATCA